CATGTCCTGCATTTTGGTTTACATGATTTAGTGCCCTAATAATAATAATAATAATAAGAAGAAGAAGAAGAAGAAGAAGAAGAAGTCCAGTTTACTAAATTATTTTTAATTTCATTCAAGCTCTTCTGTTGGGGAAAGGGTCATTTTTCCAAATTACTCTCCAATAAATTTTTAATTGTTTAGTCCTCTAAATTGCATAATGTGTTCAGTCAATTTGACTTGTTGGATTTGCTCTGAAGACTTTGCTTTTATTCAGATTATAATAGAAGCTTTTCATTTGTCCTTCACTCCCTTCCCAGTGCTCAGAGAAAGAACTCTTTGACTTTCTCATTCTTTCATTTCTTTTTTTTAAAAGCAATTAGATCCATCATCACTAGTATAAATTAAATATACTCTGGTATTGTCAATCTGTTTTTAATCTACAGATAATATTGTGGTATAAATATATTAGTTGAATTCACAAATACAGCTCTCTGGTAATAACCTCTTGCTCTTTTTTTTACTTGGAGGGTAAGAAAGAAAAGTGTACTTTGGAAGGAATGTAAGGGCATGCTAATCTTTTAAATAGCCTGAGGTAATTAAAAAAGGAGATCTAATTGTCTAGTTCACAAGAATGAAGTAAGAAAACAATATGACAATTTCATGTATTTTGAAGAATTGTGCACCCACCTTTCAAACTATTTTCAAGTCAGGTTATTACAAGATTCACTATGAAGCCTACTAAGATGACAGCCTACAGCAACAGATATTTGAGGGCAGAAGCAGGAGCCTGTTTACACTGTGGGTCAAGTTCTGGAAACCCCCAGAACTCCACCAGGTTTCCTATAGGAACATGGTATTGCAAGTGGATCCTGAAGCAGCCAAGGAAAGGATTCACAAATAAAATTTTTGCCTTTGATCCAAGGGGCCCTTCCCAAAAGAAACATATCCACATCAAAGCTTGCCTTTAGCAAGAGAGCCCACTTTATTGATATTAGCAAAGCTTTTATAACTTCAGTTCAGTGTGAGCTCATGATAATCAACAGTGTATGAGCATGAAAATTTTTTGATTGACAATAAATATAGTTACAGACAGTATTCTTGTCAGCAAAAAGACACAGAAGAGTAAGCTAGAAATTTTGCATTCTGAAACAATAAGGGTCTGTAGAGTTAGTCCCTGAGAAATCAGCCAGATAAGAGGAACTTGCAACATTTGTTGTTGTTGCATGCCTTCAAGTCATTTTTGACTTATGGCGATCCTAAGGTGACCTTATCATGGGGTTGTCTTGTCAAGATTTGATCAGAGGTGGTTTGCCATTGCCTTTCCCTGAGGCTGAGAGGCTGAGCTGGAGATAGAGCATTAGGGTACACCAGATTCCTTCCCGCTGCTGCTTTCTGCAAAACTTATTTTCAGTGTCTGTAGACTTTTTGGAGAGAAGGGGGAGAAAATGAGGATAAGAACTATCTCAAAGATGGTTGTGCATTTGCTCAACAAACTATACCAAACAAAATCATCCTTTCCTTTCATGCTTCAGCACTACACAAATATAGGGCTATGATGCCACTTTAACTGCCATGGTCCCATCTTCCAGGACTTGCAGTTTGGGGGGGGGCATTTAGAATTCTTCATCAGAAATGCCTAGTGCCCCACCAAACTACAAATTCCAGAATTCCATAGGATATAGTCATAGCAGTTAGTGATGAGTAGTAGCTATATTTTGGCAGGGTCCCTGGACTGTTCCTCCTTGTCCACTGTTGCTCCTGATGGGGAAGGAATCTAGCATGGCTTAGCTTTGGCTTTTGCTAAAGGTGCTCTAGGCTTCAACATAATAATATTTGTCATGGCTAATAGCCAGTGTTGTATAGTGATTTGAGCACTAGACTAGGAGACTGGGAGACCAGGGTTCAAATCCCTGCTCGGCCATCGAAACCTATCTTGGGCAAGTCACACTTATTCAGTCTTAGAGGAAGGCAAGGACAAACCTCTTCTGAAAAATTTCTGCCAAGAAAATCCCACAATAAGTTTGCCTTAGACTTACCATAACTCAGAAATGACTCCAAGTTACACAACGAGAACAGGGAATTCCACCAGAAACTGCTAAGTAAGTGAAGCAACTTTACCTCCAGTGTGTCATATCTTCACTGAAACAGAGGAGTACAGAGGTTTCCTGGTAGAATAAGTAATTCACTCAGAAGAAAACAATAGATGGCCAATCTGACATCTGGCTTGATCAGTCCAAAATGCATAGCTTGGTCAAAACCTACCTCAGCACATGCACAATGTATGAGGGCTTTGCACCCTTTCTGAAAACTATATTAGAGTATATAAACTGCTTCTGCTCTCATTTTGTACAATAGACTGGCTGCTAGCATGTGAGACAGAAATACCTTTCTTTCAGTAAAGTTGGATTCTTGATTCACTTCTAACCTGGGGATATTGTGAGAAGATATTTTCCTGGGGATATTGTGAGAAGAAATTCCTCTTCACTCCTTTGGCTACTCTGCTGTCCTAAGGCACAGTAAAGGATGTTGTTACATCACCAGTAGGATTCACCACTGGACATAACTGCCAGTGAGATGAAATGGAAGAGTCCTTTGCTTTAAGAAGCAAAATATCTTGGGTCAGCTCTGGTAATCTCACACCGTCAGGCATACAGACAAGCACAGCAACCCAGCAGACCTGAGTCCTCTGACCACTCTTGAAAATAATAGTACCATCTCACTTTTTCCACTGGTGTGTAAACGATAGAAGACGTCATTTGTTCATCTGTTAACTACACTTATAGCTCACCTTCCCTCCAGTCATCCTAAAGTGGCATGCATAACTCTCTACTGACTTAGTGTCATAGAAAACCTGTGAGATACATCAGGCTGAGAGAGAAGGTGGTTGTCAGGTGCTGCTTTTGCATCTTACCTGCCACGAATTTAAGGACAAGCTGAGATACAATGTAACAGTTAATGTAAGTGAATGGTTATTGCACAGGCAGTATGATAACAAAATAGAGGACCCAAGTCATTCAGCTGGGGAGAAATTAGAAGGAAGTACAAAGAGGGGGTGGTATATGAAATAGAGAACCAGAGTTGTTTTGAGTATGTAATGCATGAAATGTCAACCTGCCAATGTTTTGAAATTATGTGTGTTTCAATTAGGCAACACTAACCTTTGCTGTTTAGTTCTGATAATGAACATCTCTAACATGGACGGAATAATGTTTTGCTAAGTTTTAACTATTTCATAACATGGTTAACTGTTGGATTTGACACTGGTCCAAGATCACCCAGTAAGCAGGGACTCAAATCTAGATCTCCCAAGTCTCAGTCTGAAGGCATAAGCACAAAATGTGCTATTGTTACTCTAAAAGGTGGGGGAACTTGGGATCCCCACCAACAGTGTCAGCATCTCTTTGGCATTTGAGGAAAATCATTAGCTCAAAAGAAGGCCTGGAAGAGGTGAGTAACTTAATGGGATCTTTCCACCTATGTATACCAGTACTCACCCCAGAGACACTCTGGTTTCAATGAATAAAAGAGTTGAAAGGTGGGATAGCGAGAAATCAGGAGTTAATGAGGGGTGAAAATTACCAGCCCTGAAGAGAGTAGGGAAGATGGAAAGTGGCTCAGACAAAGGTTGAGAGATATACAAAAAGTGAAGTTCTGCTTTCTGGAACAAAACCTTGGTTTGTAGCAGCAAACTGACCACATGTGGGGCAGATCCTTGTATCCCATTTTGCTCCTTTGAGAGGTACTTGATATTCCCACAAGACTTTATTTTTTTCCAATTAACAAATTAACAAAAGGACCCCAAAACAGCTGATGGCTTTAACTCCAAAATGACAAAACATTGATTGGATTTGAGACAACCTCTGGATACTCAGACAGGAAGGGTGAATAGAGACAAAGCCTGGGTGAGGAGGAGGTATGGTTTTTAACTGCTTTTTGATAGGACTACTTAGATTTCATTGCAAGTAGATATGCAGAAATACTGGGGGAGGTTGGAGTGATCAGCAAACTCATTCTGCATTTATTGTGGTATTATCTAGGTCTTCCATATGTCCTTGGGCCAGCGTGCCTTTCCCATGTAAAACTTTGTGGTGCTCCAAAGATCATCATGGCCTCTCAAGAATATGCATGACACTACATATCAAACATGCAAATATGAAACTGCATATTCAGCGAGAGAGATGTAGGGTGTATTAACACTATCAGCATTCAGGAATTCTGTTTGAATCTCAAGAAAACAAAGCCCAAGAGATATCAGAATGTTAGAAGAACCAGGGCATGGAACTGAAGCAATTTAATCACAGATCCCCAACTGCAAAGAATACAGATATTTGGTGACATCCTACACCATGGTGGGATGGCACCACCTATCTGTGTATGGAGTTATGTTGAATGTCAGTGTTGTGCAACTGAATACACACTGCAATGTGCATGAAAATCACACAGGCATGCCCACTGTATTTAGTCTTGAAATAAGTACAAGCAATTCTGCATCAGAACAAAATCTTGAACTGCTTCCATTAAGAAATTTACACATGCAAATCTGTTTCTGACCATTTTATTCATAGAATCATAGCATCACAGAGTTGGAATAGACCTCAAGGGCCACCAAGTCTAACCCCCTGCCATGCAGGAATACACAATCAGTGGTGCTAAACTTCCAGCCTCTTAAGGTTTGGAGAGGGTGAGACTACGGATGTAGGGACGTAAAGCTTTATTTGGTTTCTCATCTGGCTTGGTCATGTAAACCCACTGGGTGACCTTGGGCAAGTCACACTCTCTCAACCTAAGAGGATGGCAATGGCAAATCCCATCTGAAGAAACCTGCCAGGAAAATCCAATGACAGTTTTGCCTTAGGGTTTCCATAAGTCAAAAACAACTTGATGGTACACAACAACAACAACAAACAACATGCAGTAAAGAGAACCTGTGTCCATTGCCTGCACATGCATGAGTGTGTATTCTCCTCACCACATCCCAGTAAGGTAGTTATTTGGGGGGCAGCAGGTTTGTGTTGATGGTCAGTGTGGTATAGTGGTTTGAGCACTGGACTACAGCTCTGGAGATTAGGGTTCAATTCCCTGCTTGGCCATGGAAACCCACTGGATGACCTTGGGTGAGTCACACACTCTCAACTCCAGAAAATTCTATGATAGGTTCACCATAAGTTGGAAACAACATGAAAGTACACAGCAACAACAAAGGTTCATGTTAGGGATATTTTGTATATTTTTGAGACAAACCTTGCACATTTCTTTAAAGGCACATAATTTAAAACTGTGATAACTATTGCTTTCTTGCAACCAGGTCTTATTGAGAGATAACATCAGATGGGTAGTTTGCATCTTTGAAACAATCACCCTTCCTTTTGTGTTTGTTGCATGTGCATAGTCTTGGCTACGAGAAGGAGAAATGTGCTACTTTTGTGTTGAGACATTTTGCAGAAACTGTTGGGATTTTTTTTTTTAAATGTTTGGTGTCTGTTGTGCCAAAAGAGAAAGCTCTCACAGGTGACTGGAGAATCCTCAACAGGGTGTCTCACATTGCCAAGATGGCACCCAAAATCTCACTCACTGCAAGATTTTTTTTTTCATACCCTTGTGGGATACTGTGTTGTGTTGTCTGTCTGTCAAAAATACCTTTACTACTCCGAGTTCTACAAAAAGAGGCAGATGATACAGACGGAACAGGTTTGCCTAGAAGCAGGGCTCAACTTGCCAGAGAAAGAAGGAGAAACCCAGCAAAACATGACAGGAAAAAGAAACCCGGTAAGATATGTTTTATGGTAAGAGGTTAAAAGAGCTGGACCTATTTAGCTCAGCAACAGGAAGGATGAGAAGGGAATATGATTGATGAGCTCTGTTGCAGGAGCTTCCCCTTTTGTCTCATATCCTCTCTCTGGAGGCACACTCTGCAGGCAACAGAGGCTTTTATTATCTGGCAGGGCTTAGAGTCCTTCGGGTGTTTCTTTGTTTTACAGTCTACTACCTTGGGCTTATATTAGCAATGACAAGGTCAAAGAAGTGTGCTTACTGCTGGAACTGCATGATAATGAGGCATGGGCTGGTTAGGAACAAAGAACAAAGAAATAGACTATTGGTTCATCTTTCTCTGTATTGTCAATATCAGGGCCGGCAACCTGTGGCCCTCAAAATCCATTCAGCCATCAGTGAAGATGAACAGTGAAAAAAGCTGACAGGAAAAAAATCAGCTAGTTTGAAATCTGATGCTGGAAAAGGGTTCCACAGATATCAAGGACTGCTAAAAGACAAAAAATTGGGTCCTAGAGAAAATCAGGCCAGTAATTCTCATTAGAAGCCAAGATGACTAAACTGAGGCTGTAATAATTTGGGCATGTCATGAGATGACATGACTCATTAGAAAAAGATGATAATGTTTGGTAAAGTGGAAGGCAGTAGGAAAAGAGGGAGACTGAACTAGAGGTGGATTGATTCAATCAAGGAAAGCCGGAGAAGGAGGAGGAGGAGGAGGTAGTAGTAGTAGTAATTTAAGTTTCCAAGAGTCGGATTGATGATCCGAGCTTTTGGAGGTCTCTCAGTCATTGTTGTTGTTGTTGTTGTTGTTGTTAACTGTCCTCAAAAATAGAGATGATTATTTAATCTCTCAGTCATTGTTGTTGTTGTTGTTGTTAACTGTCCTCAAAAATAGAGATGATTATTTAATTTGGGCTTCAATCAATCAATCTAATTCAAAAGGGCCTCTTTTTCATTTAGTCAAATGTAAACTCAATACAGCCCATTGTAAGACATTCATCATATGAGAAATGGACTTCTGTGATGACAAGAATCAATAAAATAAAAGACAATTTATACTCCCTAATAGAAAAGTCACAATGAGACATCAGAGTGGGTATGATAGCACTTGTGGGTTATTTTCCTTCCCCAATGTTTCTGACACCATCGCATGCTCTGTGGTGTTTGTTAACTTATTAATAGTGCTTAGAGACTGGTGAAAAAAATTTTAACACAGCAGATGCTCAAGCAGAAGCAAATGTGATTGCTGATGAGGTAATATAGCAGGATGCTATAGTGTGGCAGACCTGGCCAGGAAAAATGAAGAAAGAAAGGGCTTATTCCAAAGATTATGGAATACGAAGCAGGGATCCCCACTTTGAAGGCTGAAAAGAGAGCTGGGTGTGGATGCCAGCATATCTGCCTGACAGGCAGAAATTTAACAGGTTCTTGACAGGCAGAAATGGAACAGATGAAGTGCTCCCTGACATGAACATAATGATATGTGACATTACATCTTGTAACTTTCTGTTTGTCCAGCTGCCCTGATGGAGTCATCAGGGAAGGAATTGGGGCAATATCTGAGAACCTCACTTAGAAGAAGGAATCAGGGAGTGTCCTTCAATGCAGCAGAAGGACTGGCCAACCATACTTTGAAATAAGAGAAATAACACATATTTCTGTTTTCAAATGTGGCAGGGCAGGAGGATAAGACCATTAACAAATACTGTACTGTTAGCAAGTGGTCATGAAGACATATAACCAAGCACAGTGAGCTTTGTAATCAGGCAGAGATGGAGCCTCCCTGACACGACAGGAGGGGCTCTTGGTTGTGCTGGCCAATGAAAAGAAGCTGACGCCTGATTAGCTGGGTGGGCAGGAAGTTCCGCCCTCCCTGCACCACCCAGCCAATCAGGATGGGGATCCTCTAGGATCCCTAACACACTGGTAGTCTCGTGTCTCACGAGACTGCCAGTGAGACTTGGGGCTATATAGCCCTTGGCTGTCACAAGGCGGCAGCCATTTTGAAGTCGACAGGCAAGCGACCCAACCCACCCACCCTTAATTAATAGTTGCTTAATTAATTACTCTCAGGCTTCGGCTGGTCACCTTCGGGGGTCGGGAGGGAATTTTCCCAATGTTATTGTAACCTGGGTTTTTCGTCCTCCCTGAGAATAACTGATTGTGAGACTGCATGGTACCCATAACTGATATTGTTATTCTTATTGTCGATTATATTGAAGTTAGTATTTGCTTATCTTGTCACAACTTGGATGTCAGGGTCAGGGTTGTTTAATTGTTAATGGGGAGCTACGGAATTTCTGGCGGGCAGGGACCCCCCCCCCCGGGATAATTCAGTTAATTCAAATTACTAAATTTGATTACTTATTTGATGAAGAGTAGACGTCATAGGGTTAACTAAATCCTCTATGACGTCAGCTACCAAACTGATGACTTCCCAACCAGATTACATCATATGTTTAGTTATGATGATATATCCAGTAAAGGGGGTGTGTGAGATGATTTATTGAGTTGTTCTTGCCACTTGTTGAGAAGGGCTTGGTTTACCCTGATAACAAGTTTAGTTATCTGCATTGACACATGTGACAAGAACAAAATAATTATGATATATGTTATTTTGTTAATGGAAATGGTTGACGACCCTGTACAGATAAATAAAGTTGTGGCCAGTTTTTATCCGAAAGAACTGCGTACAGAATCTTTTTGTGCTAGTGCAATGAAACATGGCCAGTATTTTATCCTAGGAATAGGTAACTTCTAGCTGAATTTAACTCATGGGGATAAAGGGCCCTCATAGTGCCCTGAAGGAAAAGAAATTCCACCTCAACGTTAGGAAGAACTTCCTGACAGAAGAGCTGTTTGACAGTGGAACAGACTCCCTTGGAGTGTGGTGGAGTCTCCTTCTTTGGAGGTTTTTAAACAGAGGTTGGATGTTCAAGGGGCGATTTGATTCTGTATTCTTGCATGGCAGAGGGTTGGACTGGATGTCCCTTGTGTTCTCTTCCAACTTTATGATTCCATGATTCTATGAAGCAGGAGCATCACTAGGGACAGCTGCTGAGTGAGCAAGAAAGATGCCATCTCTCTTTCTGACTCACTCTGCAGCCATGCAAGATCATGAAGAGGCTCTTGAGAGACCTCAGCATTGCTTGCCAGCAGTGGCTGCTGCTGGGGGGTTGTGCCTTGCATTCAGATTCTGGTATGGCTATTTGCCCAAGCAGCCAGAGCCTAAATGGAAGGTATTGCCCCCCCTCCCCAGTAGCAGTCTGGCTGGCTGGTGGTCAGGTGACTGAGTGGTAGGCGAGCAAGACAGCAGGAGGGAGCATAGGGCAAGTATCTCTCCTTTGCTGCTCCCCCCTGCACTAGGTGACACCTACCACAGTAATACCACTGCCCTGAAATTCATGCTATTGTTATCTCCAATCAGTGATCAAAGATAACAGAGGCTATTTAAAACTGGGGAAGCATTTTGGCTCAATGGCTCAGATCCAGGCTATTAGGCAAACTAAGGGGGATTGCAGACTGCCAGAAATAGTGCAAATTGAGTCCTCTTTTAGGGTTAGGGTTAGTGCTAGGGAGTCATGGGAATTGTGTTTTTTTTCTGAGACATTGAGCCTTCTCTGTCAGAGAGCTCTGGTGCCACAATAAAATACAGTTCCCATGATTCCCTAACCCTAACCCTAACCCTAAAAGTGGACTCAATTTGCACTATTTCTGGCAGTCTGCAACCACTCCCCATATGAACTGGCCCAGGCTCTGAGATCCTCAGGAGAGGCCCTTCTCTCAATCCCACCACCACTGCAAGCATAATTGGTGGGGATGTGAGACAGGGCCTTCTTGGTGATTGCTTCTGGACTTGGGAACTCCTTTCTCAGGGAAAACAGAATGGCCTTTTAATTATCCTTCCACCAGCTGTCCTTCCACCCGCAGGCTAAGACATATCTGTTCAGATAGGCATTTAAAACAGAATTTTAAGAACATCCTGGGAGTGTTGTATTATATAATAATAATAATAATAATAATAATAATAATAATAATAAATAAATAAATTTATTTAAATCCCACCCCTCTGCAGTGTATGTTTTATTAATTGTGCTTATCTTTCTAAATTGTATTCTGATTTTAAATAATTGATCTGTTTTATTATTGGAATAGTGTAATTCCATTTTAATTGTCACTTTTGTAAGTTTTTAATTGTTCTTTGTTTTTAGACTGTAAGCTGCTTAGAGTCCTAATTGGGGAGGGGGGAGAGAAAGCAGGGTACAAATAAATATAATAATATAATAGTCATTATTTTAATGAAAATGTGTTTTGGCTT